ATATATATATATATATATATATAACATGATTGTTAATTATATTATGCTTGTGTGGGAATGTTCAAACCAATGCTTTGAAAATGGGAACAGATTGGGTGGTTCAACCAGAAAAAATAGAAACCGATCTCAAATTCGGTCCAATCATAATATATTATCTAGAAAAGAAAAAATCGAAAGAAGAAAAAAAATGATAAATAACCCGTTAAACCAGCCATTTTAACCGTTTAATAAGATTTTTTAAAACAAAATATCTCAACTCTGTAGATGGGCTCAATTACATTGGCAGCCCAAATTTGACTTTTCTTCTAAGGGAAAATTACACGAATCAGGTGTTTAAAAATTGTTTTTAAAAAATAAGGTGTAAAGTTTAATTATTCAAAAATCAAGTAATATATATTAAATCCGCAATTAATAACCCTAATTTTAACACACACTACTCCCTCCCCTCCATATCTTGCCCCTCGTCTTCCTCCCCTCCCCCCTCTCTCCCTCGTTTCTCTTCCTGTACCGTTCACTGTGAACACGACAGGGTTACGAAGCTGTCGTTCACAGCGTCGTGACGCTTCTGTGAACGGTAGCGTCGTGACACTGTTGTGAACGGCAACGCACGAGGCTGCCGTTCACAACAGCGTTGCAACGGGTGGTGTGTGTGTGTAGTGGCGTAGTGGAGTTTTGGTGATGGTGTTGCGTCAGGGTGTAGTGGTGGTGTTGATGCTGATTGTAGTGGATTCAGATCTAGTTGGTGGTGGTTGTAATAGTGTGTGGTTGGATGCGGTGGTGGTGGTGGGTGTGTGCGGAGGAATTGGAGACGTGGTGGCGTCACTGTTGTTGTGTGGTGTTTGACTAGTTGTGGAGTAGATGTGGTGTGTGGTGGGTTGGTGGGTTCAGATCTGGTTTGATGGTGGTGGTGATAGTCGTGAGGTGGTGATGTTGTGGTCGTGGTGTTCTGTTGTTATTGTTGGTGGTGGTGGTGGCGGCAGCGACAAGATGAAGAGTGTTTGGACAACTAAGATCTAATAATTTGCTGTGGTTGCGTTGGCGATATTGGAGATTGTCATGGTTTTTGGTTCACCGTCGATTGGTGAGGGTTTGTTGGTGTTGGAGATTGTCATGGTTTTTGGTTTGCCGTCGATTGGTGAGGCTATGTTGGCAACGTTAGTGATGGTGGTTGTGGTGAGTTGCCGGCTGTGGTAGTAGCGGCGGAGTAGGGTTAGTGACTTGTGCAATATATGAACAAAATCGTGAGCCATGTGCAATATAGTCTGTGACTTGTGCTGTGATCATTTGAAAATAATCTGCGACTAATAACAAAAATGTGACAATTATTTAGTTGATTTGTGACCAAGTATTGATGATGGATCGAAATCGGAAGTTGGTTTTTTGGTGTATGTGACCATTGGTTCTCTGTGACTAACCGTGACCTTAAAATTTGATAGTTTGTGACCAAATATTTGAAAATATGTAACCGATAGATAAATTGTGACCTATAAATTTTTTGATTTGTAATCAACGAAATAAATTGTGACCTATAAAATTTTTGATTTGTGATATCAAAATAATTTGTGACTAATTAATTTAATAATATGTGACAAATAAAAGTTGTGACATATAATTATGTATTCGTGACCATTAATTATATATTTGATTAAAGTTTACTTCGAATTAATAGTAGTAAAATTGAAAAAATTATAGTTTGTGGGAGTATACATTTGTTCGACCTCAGGTTGACCCCGATTCGATCATTTGATCCTTGACCTTTTTTTTTCCAGGTTGATGTTCGAGTTGATTTTTCAAACATTGGTTTAAACTCAAACTTAAGTAGTGGGTCTCACATCAATAAATGTGAAAAAAGTAGTAGATAGTAATTGTTGATCCTATAAAATGTGTAGATGAAAAATAAGTTATATGAAAAGTAATTATAATTGAACTTAGCCAAAGTCAACAGTAGTATAAGATACGTGGATAAAAAAAGTATGCTTAACTAAAATTGGTTATAACTTAAACTTCGACAAACATGCTCCACCGAAATTCTATCCTTATTTTAGTATAGTACGGGCATTCTATTTGATAGAGTCCGTTTGATTGTAAAAGTGAAAAATGAGTGGAAAGAAAATGAATTCCAGAGAAAATAATTGTCTAGAACTTAATTTTCAGGGAATTGTTAATTAAGTGTGTTTGATTTGTATAATTTTCCATTTGAAAAATGTTGAAATTCAGGAATTGGAAAAGATTTTTTTTACCTTTTTTATGGCCAGCAATGGGGCCCCATTGTGAGACACAAAGTCAAGAATTATGACTGGTGGTCAAGAACTACGGCTGGTGGTGCAAAAAAATACACTCTTCCTTTGGCAAATGCCAAGAAAAAATTTTCCCAACTCCCCAAGAGAATTTGAATTCCCCATTTACAAAGAAAAATGGGGTCACGTGAGGAAAAGAAAGAAAACAAATTGCCAAGAAAACTTAAGCTATCAAACAGCCAAAAATGGTTGGAAATGGAAATTTCCATTTCTCAAGGAAAATTTGTGTAATCAAACGGGGCTTTAGTGAATTAGGTTTGCCCTATAAAAAAAATCACTTCTCAATCAACAAAATTTTAAGATAGGTTATTGTCATCAGAATTTATAATATAAGTGTAGGGGTTCAAAGACCTTGGCAAAAAAGTTAAATAATTTTATGAACACGTCATTTTAGTCTATCACTAGATTAAGACGAAATCGTCTTTTTAGTCTATCACTAGAACATGTCATACGTTTTAGAAATCAGACTGGCTAGATGTTATTTGACGTACAAAAATTTCTATATACCTATTATGAATATGCACCCTTGGGATTGATAAACCTTTCGGACTCCCGCTAGGATTTTGCTTTGAAAGTTCTATTATATGCGACTACCTTCGCTAGATGTTCTATTTATTATTATTATTTTTAAATCAAAACCTTTGTCAAATGATGTCCTACAAAAGTAGTTCGAAAAATTAAAGGCATTTAAAATGAGGACAATTCTTGTAGTACATCACAAGTTACATCAGGGTGTCCGTAATAGACACCCGACGCTCTCTCATTGGTTGGAGTGCCGGTCCCACAAGCCCCCCGGCCAATAGGGGGCGCCGGGTGTCCATTATGGACACCCTTATGTATCTTGTGATGTACCACAAGAATAATTCTTAAAATGATTTTGAATATAATTTTGCTCTAATCTTGTCTATATATTCATTTATGATTGATTTTATCCGACCAAGACTATCGATGACCGTTTTAGAAGGAAATTGAATAATTCTGTTTAATATATATCAATTGATATCTACAAATGATTTTATATTTAATTAATTAACAATAATTGATATTTAATTTTTAGTCAATCAAAATGGGGGTAAGGGTAACATTAACAAAGCAATTCCCACCTAACAAAACGTTTTACATTTAATTTATATTTGAGCGGGCATTCAATTTGGTAAGTGCAGCAACGGCGATTTAACGATGGAAATTAAAGAAAAGTCTAAAATTTATATTAAGAAAGAATTGATTGTGGCCTTGTGTGGGGAAAGAATTAATTGTGGGCATATATTTCTTAAATTATGCTTATCACCATTTCATATATATAGTTAATGCATATTTTATACACATTTGCCAAGCAAAATAAACTAAAGAATCAAGAGAAGAAATGGGATTGAAATCTTCTTTTGGAATTATTCTTGTACCATTCTTGTTCTTGTTTTTTATTGATGCCAGCCATGGTTTACCACCAAAATTATTCGACGTGAGAAATTATGGTGCAATTGCAGACGGAAAAACCTACAACACTGAAGTAAGTTCGAGCACGAAAATTCTTGTAATTTTTGTCAATGCATTTTCTATATACATATGCAGATTTTCTGTGTGTTTGGCAATTTTAGGCATTTCTCAAGGCATGGAACGATGCATGTGCACATCAAGGAAGGAGTAGGTTTTATATCGCACCAGGAACATTTCTGTTGGAGTCAGTGAGCTTCGAAGGACCGTGCAAGGGCTCAATAACATTTCTTCTTAAAGGGACTTTAAAGGCTCCAACTGAAAAAAGCAAGTTCTCCACAGATACTTGGATCGGTTTTCGGTATCTCGATGATTTGACAGTGAAAGGTGGTGGATATTTGGACGGCCAAGGTAAATTTGCGTGGCCCTATAATGACTGCTCCAAGAATTCATACTGCGGGCCGCTTCCAGTTGTAAGTTCATTATTTCTAGTATTTTCTGAGTTGTTTTTTAATGGGATTGGAGAAAAATGTTTACGGTTCAGGCTTAAGTTTATAAAATTATGTTTTGATTTTCAAAATAATTTCTTTCCACGAATTATTGAAGATTTAAAGGAAACTGGAAGAAATGAATTTTGGATAATATTCTTTTAGTGATTCTCCATACGCAAGACAAAATCTTAAAATGACAGCACAAAATCTATTGAATGGTATAATTTAATTTGTTTCTTTAATCTATGGGAATTTTTCTGTCAATGAACGGATCTACAATCCGTCATTTGCATTCAATCAACAGCAAAAAACTAATTTCAGTTTAATTTTTAATTCAGTCAATGAGGTTCGACTTTGTGAACAATTCAAGAATCCATCATTTGAAATCAATCGACAGCAAAAACACTCATTTTAGCATCTTTGCATGCTCCAACATGAATATCAGCAAGGTTAGAATTACGGCCCCCGAAGATAGTCCCAACACAGATGGTTTACGCATTGGCTACTCAAGAAAAATTAAGATTTCGGATTCTGTCATTGGCACCGGTGATGATTGTATATCCATGCTTTACGGTAGTCAAGATATTGACATAGACGACGTTTCTTGTGGCCCCGGTCATGGGATAAGTGTTGGAAGTCTTGGAAGAAGTCACGAGGATCAATATGTCTCCAGGATAAGTGTAAAAAACAGCAGCTTTGTCGGTACTCAGAATGGTTTGAGGATCAAAACATGGTCTCCTTCCTTGTACAGTTTGGCTTCAGATATGAATTTTGAGTACATATCTATGACCAATGTTAGAAATCCTATTGTTATTGATCAACAATATTGCCCATTCCCACCTTGCAGCTCCTGGGTAAGAAACATTAATTTGCTAGTTTTAACGTAAATGTGGTCTTTTTGATCAACAAGTTTGTGTTTGTTAATCACAATACTGTTCTTGATTCTAGGGTCATTCAACGAGTTCGGCTGTTCAGATAAAAAATGTCAAGTTCAGAAACATTTGGGGCACTTCAAATTCAGAAGTTGCCGTCAACTTAAAATGCAGCGGATTGATACCTTGTCAGAATATCGAGCTTAGAGATATTAACTTGGTTTACAATGGTCCCGGAGGTCGAGCCACTTCTCTTTGTTCTAATGTTAAAGGTTCTGCGTATGGGAAACAACAACCTCTTCCTTGTTTCTAGGTGTCTGTTCTTGATAACATTAGGCTTTAGTACATCTCTTTGCATTAGATATTATGTCTTTGTGATTTCAGACGTAGCACAATGTAACAATTTCGGTATTAGCTTTTTTGGTAATAAGGGATTGATTTGCATGGAGCTCCTTGTGAATTTTAAAGATGCTTCTCTTGGATTCTTAGTACTAAATTTATCTTGAGAATAAGTGTTGATTACTGTGGTTACTACGTGTATTATAAGAGAGCCCTTTTATTAATTCACCATTCAAAAACTCATAAAACAGCACCGTGTAATATAAAGTACAAACAATGAGCTTATTATACTTGCAGAACCTCAGGTTATCTAGTTAAACAAGGTTTCACTTACACAAGGGCCTTGAGACTTGATTGATTTCCATATGGATTCATCTATTACGCCACTCAGCAAATTCGACAGAAAATTGAGTTGCAACTAGTGTATTACAGTAAAATTTTGTCAAAAGGAGAGCCACGAAAAGTGTATTAATATTGTACCTGTTACAGTCTGTATTTCTAGTGATGCTGAAGGGCAGTGTAACACCACATTTCTGAGGGAGGGCAAGAGCAAAGAGTCCTTTGCACTTGGATATTGAGGAGCAATTTGCTTCAAGCAGTTGCACGCTTGTCGCCTATCTGCAGTTGTTCTGGTCATTCCCAGAAGGCGGCCCAGCTCGTTACAGCAGCCACCAGATGGTTGAGCCACCTGGCCGGTGGCAAAAGAGGCACACTGTGCCACGGCTGGCATGATCAGGCACAGCTAAATGCCTATGCTGGTTCCAGTGGGAAAAGAGCTGCACTGAGTGTAAAAAGAACTAACAATGAAACCTTCAACATTTTTGGTCTTTTAGGACAAGATTCTGAAATTAAACAAAATCACAAACATATATATAGACTCACGCAGATATAGAAAAAGGTGAATCCATATCTATTGGCTATAATGAAGTGAGTGGCTATCATTGACCTGTATTCTGGATTTTTTTCCACTTCATTAATGTTTATATGAATGCAGCCAAGGATCAGTTGAGCAGCTAAAATTTGTAACTTCTCTAACACATTGCATTATCCTTGCATTGATGAGGCTGATGATTTGGTTAGCAGTGAAGTGGATTACTCTTGCCTAGAATAGGAGACATTGGTGTCAGTCTTGTTTTGTACTGACAGTTTACTCTTCTTATACATCACCTGTATCAAAAAGAGGAAATTTTTCACTTAGATCAATCTGTTAAGAGTGAATTGAAGTTAATTATTAGTTTCTCAAATTACCCTTTTGGCACTTATAGTAGAAGGAAATTGGAGGCAAACCTGAAACTTCATCCTATCACTTTTTTGAGAAAATCTTCTTGCAGGCATAATCAAACACTTTGAAGCAGATAGAGAAGTCCATGAACCGAGTCATTTAGAGCATGTTTGAGCATGCGAAACACGCTTTTAATAGTTTACATGGTTCCCATTTTGTATGGGCTATTTACAAAAAATGTGTAGCGCATCTTCTTTCAAAAAAGTATATATGGACTATTTTTAAATGGATGATGCATGATGAATGATATTGAAGGCTAAAATATTTATATAAATGATTTCACCTAATGTCAAATAACTTGAACAATTCATGTTCATACACATTTAAATCTTAACCACAGTGGGCTCATTTAATGAGAAGTACATGTCTTGGAATTGAGAATGTAGCATCCCACCAGCTGCAAACTCATGAACTTCGCCATTCACTTCAATTAAACTACATCCTGGTTGTTTCTCTATCTGCTTATTCTTCATTTCAATTCTTTGCTGCATTGCTTTTTCGAAAAGTCCCGAGGCTGCATAAACATTAGACATCAAGACATAGCCGCTTGTCTCATTTTCATCTAGCTCGACTAAATTGTCTGCTGCCCATTTGGCGATATCAATGTTTCGGTGATTCCTACAAGCTGCCAATAGTGAACCCCATATCACAGCATCGGGACTCATTGGCATACTTCTTATAAGCTCGGCTGCTTCTTCCACACGTCCTGCTCGACCTAACACATCAACCATACAACCATAGTGTTCAACTGATGGCTGAATTTTATACGTTTCTTTCATCGATGAGAAGTACTCTCTTGCCTTATCGACCTGTCCTGAGTGATTGCAGGCAGTTAGAACGCCAATAAAACTCACGGAATCTGGTTCAAGGTGAGAAGATTCAAGCCTGGAGAAAAGTTCAATCACTTCATCTTCCAAGCCATTGAGTGCTAATCCCAACATCATTGAATTCCAACACGATACTCCTTTCCTTGGGACAGCCTCAAAAACTTGGCACGCCATTTCAACTTCTCCACACTTGCAATACATGTCTACGAGTGCTGTAATTATAATCACATTCAAGTCAACTTTATGCTTCGTTATATAATCATGAATCCATTCCCCTTGTTCAAGAGCTCCTAATTTCGCGCAGGCATTCAACAAGCTCACCAGTGTAAACTCACTTGGCATAATTTTCTCCTCTTGCATTTTACCAAAAAGATCCAATGCCTCCATCCATTTCCCATTTCTAACATAACCACTCATCATACCGTTCCAAGAAACCTCGTTTCTCAATGGCATTTTACCGAACAACCTACTAGATTCATCGACTTCCCCACATTTAGCAAGTCCCATAATCATAGAATTCCATGCAACAACATCTAAATCCTTATCTTCGTCGAACAATTTTCTCGCATCCCGCAAAAGTCTACAATTTGCATACATATGTATAACAGAATTTCGTATGAACGGATCAAATTCCAGGCCTAGTTTAACGATTCTTCCATGAAGTTGAGCTCCATCTCTTGCCAGTCCAAGTTGAGTATAAGCCTTGAAAACCGAAGGATAAGTAAGCCTCTCGGGGCTAATACTCGAATTCACCAACATGTCAACAAACAAAGAAATTGCCTTTTCCGGGGCTGAGCTTTGAGAGAAACCTCTTATTATAGTGTTCCAAGTGAAAAGATTTGGTTTCTCAATATTAGAAAACACTAAGTACGCATAGTTGATGTCACCACCACCGCCCCGGCTGGTGGCGCAAAAGGCCAATACACGGCTAGCTACTATAATGTCTTTGGCTAGGCCTGTTTTGATGAGATGGGCATGAATTTTTTTGAGGTCTTTCATTGTTTTGCATTTGGTTTCTAGCATTGAGAGGAATGGCTGGTCTGAGATAAACTTTGTAATAGAGGTTGATGGTGGATTGCAAGAGCAAAAACATGGTGGCATTAGATTCAACAAGAATATAGCTAAAATAATGTAGCAAAACTATCAAAACTTAGATAGAATTCTTACCAAAGCCTAGCATTGTGTGGACAGATGGAGCAATTTACAGAAATAATAATGGAGGTAGAGTGAGAGCAGTCAGCAGCCTCATCTGCTATAATGGATAAGGCGATTCGAGCCACTAATTGAAATCACAAGTCATGACAAAACCAAGTGCATTAAAAAATGAGGACTTGTTTTGTATGTCACAATACTTAAAACGAGATACAACTAGCTATCTTTAACTCTCATTCTTTAAAACTTATTTTTCTTCAAATTTATTATCAACCAAGCTTTCTTACAATAAAAGCACATAATTCAAAACTGTTCCTACTTTTTAACTAAGTGGCAATGGCCTTCTCTTGCCCCATCTTTACATCCTCACATTAGTTTGCAAATCTCACTCTAATTAGATTCTCTCTCTCTCCCTCTATTCATTAAATCGAGAATATAAGTATAATCATCTTCATTAAAAATATTAAGGAGATAGATACCACGTACTATAATATTAACACTCACCAACCACTATTACGGGTCATGGTCTCTTTCGAATACATTCTCTATTTAACTAGTTTAACAACAATCAAATGGGAGCAACAATAGAAAAAGGAAACTTCATATTATCCCAAAAAGAATCTTAAAACCATAAAATATATTGTAGGTTGTAGAATTTTCTACATCGATTGGTCAAAAGTTCATATTGAGGCTAAGATTTTGGAAGATTATCTGTCGCTTTATTGAATATTTTCACTCTAGAATACTTACTATAGGGTCCATTCACTGACAAAAATCAACCCCAAATGGCACAAAAGGTAGCCGCAATTATTGTGAACATATTTTGTTGTCATCCATTATCTATAATCTCTCTTTTACACAAAGTACAATTACTTTTGAAATTTGATACATGATTGGCGGGTTGATTCAGAAGAATATATTTACAACTTCTTGTTGAATTTAATTGTTCACTTTCAGTTGCGAGGTGAGTAATTTGAGTCGGATTGAGATACTTTCGAGAACTCTGCTTCATTTAGTAAAAAGAATGTCTTGTACTAAACATTCATGTCTCTTTACCATGAGTGTCAATGCACAAGAACTAGTAGCACTTTGGCCCAAGACTTATCATCTAATATTACATATATTGATAGAAGAAATCAATTATAAACGTTAATATAGTAAGAGTATCTTTTTACGGACAAACTTGAGATCTGTCATCCCATGCGAGATATGTTTAGGATCACCAAATTTTTTGTTATATATCTTGTTATATGAAGAGTGAAAACTAACATCCTTATTAGATACTATAACTCGTAAGAAAGAAAATAAGCCCATGTTTGGTATCAATTAAAATCTAAATTTAAATTTAAGTCAAAATCAAAGATTAATTTTAACTACATATTTTATGGGTCCCACAACTTTTTAACCACACATTTCATCAACTTCTATCAGAACCTACTAAAAATCTGATTTTAATCCTCACCAAACAGATGCTGAATTTATAAATGATATTTTTTTTAATACGCAATATTTATAGACAAAGTATACGATTATTAGAGAAAAACCATAATTCTAATATCAAATCAAAATCAACTAGGATAAAACATAACATTGTGTTAAGCTTTTTGTTTGGTAAGGTAATAATTATCATTAGTCACAGCTTTCGAAAAGTAGAGTGGCTATATGGGGCATATGTACTTGGTTTAATAGGCACAATTCCAATCGAGTACAAAAACCAATTAGTCAAAATTTATTTCTTACATTCATTCTCTCTTCAAATTTGTCATAGTAATAGTACACAATAAAGAGAAGGAAAAAGAATCCTAGTGAACCTGGCTCTACACAACTTTCGACTTTAGGAAGAATCAATGTGTGACTTTTGCTTGACAAAGCATGAATTGGTGGGGGTATAATCTATCTTGAGAGTTTTTTAATTCACCTAGAGGAGTCTACTCAGTCATTGCAAACAAATCAAGAAAAAGTATTGCTTGGTTTGCATGAATATAATTTTATCCATTTCTTAATCGATCAAACTTCAATTTAACCATACGTTTATCGAGAGTATTACTTCTATCAACTTTTCAACTACATATTTCATTAACTTTTATTAAAATATGCTAAAACTTTATCAAAAGCATTGTCATACAGGTCCTAAGGAAATTACTGGCTTCCTCACCGTAAGAAATATTCACTATCAAGCATACTACCACTACCTTGTCCAATCTTAAAGGAAGAAAAAACTTGACAATATAGTTTCAAACAAAAAGAGAAAATAAAATAAAAAGGTGAATAGATGTCTTTCCAAGAACCATTATGTAGTTGATGGAACAAATTTAGACTCAATAGTAGAAAAAATTATCATTTTAATAGACAAATTCCATAAAAAACGAAGTCAAATGGACACCAAATTTTCAACATTTTTCATGGAAAATTATACAAATCAAACACAATTAATTACAATTCCCAGTAAAACATTTCTAAGAAAATCAATTCCCTGTAAAACATTTTCTTTCCACTCATTTTTCAACCTTGCAATCAAACGGACCCTTAGTAAAAAGAATGTCTTGTACTAAACATTCATGTCTCTTTACCATGGGTGTCAATGCACAAGAAGTAGTAGCACTTTGACCCAAGACTTATAATCTAATATTACATATATTGATAGAAGAAATCAATTATAAACGCTAATATAGTAAGAGTATCTTTTTGCGGACAAACTTGAGATCTGTCATCCCATGCGAGATATGTTCAAGATCACCAAATTTTTTGTTATATATCTTGTTATATGAAGAGTGAAAACTAACATCCTTATTGGATACTATAACTCGTAAGAAAGAAAATAAGCCCATGTTTGGTATCAATTAAAATCTAAATTTAAATTTAAGTCAAAATTAACGATTAATTTTAACTACACATTTTATGGGTCTTACAACTTTTTAACCACACATTTCATCAACTTCTATCAGAACCTACAAAAAATCTGATTTTAATCCTCACCAAACAGATGCTGAGTTTATAAATGGTATTTTTTTTTAATACGCAGTATTTATAGACAAAGTATACGATTATTAGAGAAAAACCATAATTCTAATATCAAATCAAAATCAACTAGGATAAAACATAACATTGTGTTAAGCTTTTTGTTTGGTAAAGGTAATAATTATCAATAGTCACAGCTTTCGAAAAGTAGTGGATATATGGGACCTATGTACATGGTTTAATAGGCACAATTCCAATTGAGTACAAAAACTAATTAGTCAAAATTTCAAATTTTTTTTCTTACATTCATTTTCTCTTCAAATTTGTCATAGTAATAGTACACACTAAAAAGAAGGAAAAAGAATCCTAGTGAACCTGGCTCTACACAACTTTCGATTTTAGGAAGAATCAATGTGTGACTTTTGCTTGACAAAGCATGAATTGGTGGGGGTATAATCTATCTTGAGAGTTTTTTAATTCACCTAGAGGAGTCTACTCAAGTCATTGCAAACAAATCAAGAAAAAGTATTGCTTCGTTTGCATGAATATAATTTTATCCATTTCATAATCGATCAAACTTCAATTTAACCATAAGTTTATCGAGAGTATTACTTTTATCAACATTTCAACTACATATAGGGGTGGACGCGGATCGGTTCGGTTCGATTTTTTTCGGTTCCAAAAATTTTCGGGTATTTAGTAAATGAAACCGTCGGTTCCAAATATAATTTTGGAACTGTTCGGGTTCGGTTTGATTCGGTTCCGTACTATAATTAAATTTTTAAACATTTAAAATAATACTACATAAATACACCTGAAAGTAGATACTAATATTAATAACAAAAAGTAGATATAAATACCAAGTTCAATCTTAACTTTTACAAATTAACGTAATCTAATTTAATAACATATAAATAATAAGTTGTCAAATACAAATACGAAAAAGTAAATATTA